GCGCAACAATACACACGGGCATCTAATCTCACTTATTATTTTTATTTTATCGCTTTTATTATAAGCAATTGCTAGTTTTTTTCTCTCACCCCCTCCCCCCCCCCCCCCCCCCCCCCCCCCCCCCCCCCCCCCCCCAATAAAAACTTTTTCATTTCCCGGATCATACCGGCAAGTTTGTTACACCAGACCCGATGAGCTACATCCTGTATGTCGTTTGGACAGAACAAAGCAGTTACCTTATAAAATGTTGTAAATAGTTTGTCATAACGGCTGCATTATGTGTTTTCTTGTCTTACACAGCTATTTAGAGTGAGTAGACGTTGGAATTAGATTACTATATATATATATATATATATATATATATATATATATATATATATATATATATACATACACATCAATGTTTGTGTGTTTGTTTATGAGCTATAGACGCGGAAACTACTGAACCGATTAAGCTGAAATTTTCGGGACACGTTTGTTTTGATACCGAATGTTTACCCATCATGGTTTAAAATGCTACCTGTCATTGTTAGAGATAGGTGAACACATTTTTTGGAAAAATCTTTCGAAACTAATATTTCCATTTTTAGTGATATTTTATTATAGCCACGTAAGTAAATGCGCATACGCATGCACGAACGACTTCCACCATTCGCCGTCGTGGTACAGCAAACCAGACTATCTCTATATCGCTGATTGCGACGTTAACCACGTTAGACACGATTTCCATTTTCTTTCTTTTCAAACAACCTTCGATGAGTTAGAGAGTAGTCCGTGGATTTGAGAAAGTGAAGAGGGGGAGGGTGCAATCTATGTCTGTGCAGACAATGATTGCGACATTTACCGTGTTAGACATGTACGATTTTTATTATTGTGCCGTTTCAATATTCCTTGAAGTTTATATCTGGGATATCTGGTAATGAGAAAACAATTGCCTGCTGTTTTAAGCTGTGTTAGAATCGGGACACACATCTTGCGTAGTTTTGTTCTCTTTTAGTTATACAACAGCAGTGGTTGGCTGGCAGAATGGTTAGTACACTGGGCTCCCGTGCGGGAGACTAGGGTTCGAATTCCCAGTACGGCAGTTTTTTTTTTTTTAAAACCGCGGGGGCAAACTAAAACCAAGACCTGCTCTGTCGTGGCGACAGCACTAGCATTGTGGCCATAAATACTTAAAAAAAAATACAGGTATGTGGGTAAACCAGATGATAATTAAATTTGACCATTTCGCATACTTATGAATTTCACTTCAAACTTTCCGATTGCATGGTTACGCTGGATTTTCATAGATTTCCATTTATATTCATTTCGATTTAATTATTTCTTCTGACATTGCATTGGAATTAGCCTGTGTTGTTTATCATAGCGTTCATTTCGTAATTTTGGTGTATTTTTCCTGTTTTCGTTGCATTTCACTTTTTTTTTTTTTCTCCAAACTACTTAGATGAAGGAAAGAGTAGTCGGTAAATGGGGGGGGGGGGGGGTAAGCATAAACTTGTAACTAAGAGGGCGGTTACACCGTAGTGCTGTCATGCTGGAGACTGCCGGTAAGGTGATGGCATTTATCTGTCGGGAAGCGAAATTACACATCCTATCCTGACCAGTCCGTGGCGATAGCATTAGCCTTGTGGCGCCAAATTCTCTGGCTCGCGACTCTCTGTCTACTCTGATGGTAAAACAGATAGCTGTGACAAAATTTTAGTTATTGTGGTAGCAGTGGTGGTAGTAGTTGTACTGGTACTTGAAGGATAGTGTGGTAAATATTACACTAGCCGTATTTACTACTCATTACAATTCCTGCTCCCTATTTTAGTCCGGATGGACAGGAGTATCAACGTCAGTTACAAAAATCCTTCGATGTGGGAGAGAGCAGTATTCGCTGGATGGGGGAGTGAGTGATGACATAAATTGTTAACTTAAAGAGCTTAACGCATGATTTTAAAGTTTTCGTTTCTTAATTTGTTTATTTTTTACTAAAGCTACCTCCGCTATTCTAATTTTTTTTCAACGACTTACTTGGTTATTTACAAGTACAGTAGTAAGCTTTACTTCCGTCTCTTTAGAAAAATAAATACAAACAGCTTTAGCATGTGATAACCAAATAACAATTTTTTTTTACTCTGTTAAAAATACCATTTAAACGACCACTAATATAAAGACGCAAATATATGTTGCATGTTCTAAAGGGGCAAACCAGACTATCTCTATATCTGTGCAGAGAATGATTGCGACAGTAACCATATTAGACACGTGCGATTTCTATTTTCTTTCTTTTCCTTCTAGCCAAACTTTGCCACAGTAACGCGTGGCCGGGTACAGCTAGTATATATATATATATCATATATATATATATATATATATATATATATATATATATATATATATATATATATATATATATAAATTGTAATTCGTGTCTCACTTTCCTCAGGTCATCAAATGTATTGATTATCCTTCTTGTAAAATCAAGCGCTCTGACCCAGGACAAACATAGCACAAAGCCGTCAAAGACAACATCAGTAATGTATATAAATGCAATACGCTTCCGATACTAGAATCTTTGAAACCAGCAAAGAATATTCATGAATTTTGTAGCGGTGATAATTTCAAGCAATAAATGTCCTTTCCAGAGAAAGAGATATCTTTTTTCAATTAATTCACCAATCTTATTGGGAAATCTGTGCTACAATAAATCAATTCATGAATAGGGTCTTTCGTTTTCATTTAAGTGCTAGATTTAATCACCCGGCTTTGCCCTGGAAAGTAAAAGAAAGTTTTATTCTCATCTTAGTCTCTACCGCTGCTGTATATGTAGTAGAAACTCCACAGAGGAGCAAGCATAACAATAGCCTTCAGTCTTTAAGTTTTCCTTGGACGCTTGTTTCCTAAACCAGCCAGTGTCCCATTTCAGTGCATGTCTGGTGATGTTCTGAATTTTCTGAAGCAAATAAATTGTTACAGGGTGAAACGGTCACTGTCAGAAGTGCATTGGTAGGAGCGTTCTATACCATTTCTACCCAAACAACAATCTCTCCTCTAACGCTTTTTATCTTAGTCTACTTTTCAAGAAAGATAACAACGAAATGTAATTTAAAAGATATATATGTAGGAATGCCGGAGGGAGAAAATATGTAAAGGGATAGAACTCCAGCGAAAGTTTACTTTTACTGATTGTCACAATGAATAAATGAAATGCACAATATCCTGACCGCAAAAGTGACTGTTAAATTAAACATTGTTGCCATAAAGGCATTTGCGAATTTAACCCGTGTATTGACCGCAGTCTTGGAGGAGTTAACAGTTCATTTGTAATAAAAACACGATATACAGAAAGGGTTTATAATTTAAAGTATAGATATTATTCTAAATTAGAACCAAAATTAGACTGAAAGAGGGCCTAAAGACACTCACAACAGTCATTAAAAGCAAGCCATGTTATAAAAAGAGGCAGGCTGGGAAAACGTGTGACCATTGGAAATATGTGTGGAAGAAGAGGATGGCAACATGAGAAGATTCTAGATTCTTTTATCTTGGATGTATGGGTATCAGCACAGGAACTGTTAGAGATCACCGGTTGTGTAGAAGTATGATCGCCCATGTCAGTTGGGGCACTTGATAATGATTATCCTTGATAATTAATAGCCAATTGAAATGCATTCTGCTGTATGTGTTATGTGTGCAGCTGTTATATATTTTCAAGAAATATTCACATACTTACTATTCTCATCAGTATTGCACGGTAGAGCAAACCGTATGACACATGACACTTGTATGATAAGCCGAAGTCAAGAAAGCCAGGGATAGACATCGATAAAAATGTGAAGACAACATCAAGAAGTGAGCGAAGTACCGACTGACAGAGTGTACTACCAAGACAAGAGTCACATTCTGAGGGGAAAGATGTTGAGAGATTGGACCAGATCATCTGCCCAACGCTCAATACTCAAAGGAAAGGCGAGACGGATATAAAATGATACAAATACTGGTGCCGTCGGAGTTGGAACAATGCGCTTGCTACTGAAGATGTGAACGGAGCGCTTAAGAGAATTTACGAGTGTTGCGATGTCGATTCTTGACTTACTTTGCCGCTCCTCTTCTACCTTAAGGCCGCATTAGCGCACTCGATAGAAGACTCACTTTTAAATCCAGTATTCGAAACCGGGCGGTTCCCGGGGTTCGCCCAGCCTCTGGGTAATGGGTACCAAAGTTAACACGCTGGTAAATGGAGGATCGTCGCTGTAGCTACGGAGTTTCGTGCGGACGGCGACAGAGGTGGACAGTTTCTTATCAGCTGTAAGTACTGGTGGCAGAGCACTTATGGTTTATTACCATGTGCAATGACGCTGGTTCAAATCTCCCGACTTTACCTTTACATTTACTTCTATTTTGAGGTGTAGAGGTTTGCAAGATAGCTCGCCACACTTCTCTGTCAGCAGTTTCCTTTTTATTTTTGTTTTATTCGAGTCCAATATAAGTAAGGAACTGTCAGATGTTGTCTTCCCAAGGAACCTTGGGTCGTTCTGGTCGTTTGATTCCCCCTTAGTTCTTAGCCTACAATGACTGCCATGGCAGCCGAGTCTCTTCCATTCTGCATACAAGTCCAAACCATTGGAACTAAATAATTAATTTACAAAATCCTGAATAGTTGTAATTTAATATTGATAATATGCACTAATTAATATGACTTCGTGGCGTCCATGGCTTAGGCGTTGTGAGTCCCACTCGTAATTCTAACGTACCGCGATCGAAACCCACTGCTGGCTGCATGAATTGTTATCATGGTATGGGGTGTAGGGGTCGAGTTAGCCTAAAATGGGTACCAGGATGTATGTCCTGGGGAAGTAAATACGGCCGGCGTAATGCTGACCACTTTACCCACCTAGTGCCGATAGGTCTGTTAAAATATGGGTGCTCTTTCCATACACCCGATGCGCCTAAGGCGTGAAAAAGATCTTTAGATTTACTTACTTTAATATAACTCCATACTGACTCTTCCACAGATCTGCCACCAAATGTTACATTATCAATGTGGCACTGGCGGACCTAGCCTTCATCATCATGGTTGTTCCCATAACAACAGCAGCCTACGTGTCTGAACATTGGATTTATGGTGATATCATGTGTAAACTCATTAATTACATGATATACGTAAGTAACTCCTTGTGTATCGTGCATGTACGTAGGTAACTACATTTGATTGAACTCTTTATTTATCGTATTGTACGTAAATAGCTACGTTTGACGGAACTCCTTCTTTATCTACACATACGTAACTAGCTATAATTGAGTGAACTAATTCTTTATCGTACATATACGTAAGCAACTTCTTTTGAGTGAACTCTTTTTTTATTGTACAAAGACATAAGTAACTACATTTGATTGATCTCCTTGTTAGTGGTGCATATAGATAAGAAACTACACTTGATTGAGCTCCTTCTTTATCGTTTATGTATGTAAATAACTATATTTGATTGACCGACATCTCTATTGTACATATACATAAATAGATACATTTAATTAAACTTCTTTTTTTGTATCGCATCTATACGTTAAGGAGCTAAATTTGATTTAACTCCTTCTCTATCCTACATTTACGTAAGTAACTAAATTTTTTATCGTATATATACGTAAGGAGCTAAATTTGATTGAACTCTACTCTATCGTACATTTTCCTAAGTAACACAATTGTTTTATCTTATCTATGGTAATGGATTTCATTTAAACTTTCTCTATTGATTTACGTGAACTCTTTCTCTATACGTAAATTCGATTGAATACGTAAGTACGTAAGTAAGTATATGTAGCCTTTTTCCTACATTAAGCACCCAAGCTTATTTGGCACCGCGCCGGTCGCCATTCTTTAAACTGATTCTTTCTTCGTAACGCCTCCTAAGAGCACTATATGTTCCTTTCCTGATATCAAATATAATTTTCCGATCGTTTCCCAACCGAGCCAATGCTGAGCGAATAAATAAACAAACTCGCAAGAGCTGATCAGCTCTCGTAGAAAGAGGAAGAGAGATAATCGGACACAAGAGACAACATAACATTTGTTGCTCTTTGATAATAATTAGTATTTCAATATATTCCTTTGATCAAAAAGATCACGACGTGCGAAATGAGATGCTTACGTAAGGCTGCCAATGTCACAAGGAGAGACAGAGTTCGAAACGACAACATTAGAGCAATTTTAGGAACCACACCATGCCTGCAATACATAAAGAAGCAACAAATAGAGTGGTTTGGCCACTTGATGCGAATGCAAACCGACCAACTGCCTCTACGAGCATACAACGAACAGCACTACTGCCCTAGAGCAAGAGGCAGACCGAGAGTACGATGGATAGACAATCTATCAGAGATCCTGAGGCAACACGGACTAACAACAACACGTGCAACACACCTGGCCCAGGATAGAAAACTGCGACTCCCCACTACGCTATGAGGCAATTGTGGACAAGACAAGACAAGACAAGACAAAGTTGTATGCTGAATATCCTCCTTTTTATTATTGTTTAGAACTGAATAAATAATTAGCGCACATTTCAATATTTTACAATTTAAAGTTAATTATTGTTGAGGATTTAATCTAATAAAACGCGTATGAATGAAATAATGAATTCATATTGCAACAAGTGCAGACTGTTAGGCTCAACAACGTACCCGTTTATAACCCTGCGAAATTAAGATTCGTTCGTTCGTTCGTCCGTCAGTTTGTTCTCAATGCACCTGTCAGTTTTCTTCATTCGAGCTGCTACCTAATGATTTTAACACCCCTGCGACTTTAAAAGACGCATTTCGATAGCATTGCGACAGTTGAAAAAACATTCCTTATTTAACTTTTTAAGTACATCAGAAAAGCTTTCGATCGAGTTAATAGAAATAAATTATGGAAGGTACTACAGATTACAAAGTAAGCGAATACCTTATCAAACTTATCAAGCGTTTATACGTCAACAGTCAATGCACAGCTAGAACTAATACAGAATGCCAAAGTTCTACATGAGATCTGAAGTTCTATTACCACTACTGTTTATCACATACGTCGACCACATTTGCAAATTAGCTATTGACCACATTTGCAAATCAGTTAACACCAGCAAAGGCCACAACAATGGAGAATAACTAAATGAATTGCCTTTCGCCAACGACCAGGCAATCGAAGCTCTAATGAAGTACAACTTCAAGAACATATAAAAAACTGCACTCAGAATGTGACAGCTATGATATGAAGATCAAAGTAGACAAAACAAAAGGGATGGCGTTTTCTGGAAAAGAAGGAAACACCAATATCAACATTGATGAACAGCAGTTGAAGCAGGATAGGGATTTTTTTTTTTTTTTTTACTTATCTTTGGAGCATTTTTTTTTTTTTTTTTTTTTGTATAAGACGAAATAATTCATAAAGAAATCTAATAAAGATGCAATAAAGAAAATCAACTTTTAGGCCAAATTGTACTAATTTTGAAATGCAAGCATGTGATTATGAACATTAAAAGAACACTGTTTTACACACTATTCTTACCAACGGTATGCGATCATTATCAAACACGGACACTTTTCAGAAGACAAAAGACAAAGAGTCACGCCAGAAATGAAATGTTTCCGTACTATGCTAGGTGTAATAAGAACACATCAAACGATATCAGGAGGAGAGTCGACACAACTAATACAAAACTTTATAGGTAGACAAAAGTCAAATGGATTGGCCATGTAATACGACTGGCATAAGACAGGGCGCCATAGAGAGTAATGTTATACAGATACGGCAGTAAAAGAACCAGAGTTCGACTACGCAGAAATAGACCGCAGAAATATTAGAGACACTGTAAAGCATTTGATACGAAGCTAACAGAAGGACACCGTTTCTAAGAACTCTTTCTGCCCTGACGCCAAGAGGCATTTCAGGAATAGAGAAAAGAAGAAAGAAGAAGAATCTCCAAGGAAGATACAATTAGAGCACCCGTGAAGAAATACATGTAGTATCGTACTCCGCAGTCCTGTGCTAGCAAGGAGCTCAACCACACTACACATTTTTGCTGACCTTTATCTTTGGATGTAGAAGAGGCTCAGAAACTAAACACTTTGCTTGGTGATAGTACACGTCTTTCGATTCTGACTCCTTTTGACACTAAAACAAAAAAGCTCTACCATGTTCAACCTGGCAACACGTCTGAGTAAGTTTTACCCCACCAGAATATAACACAGAGCATTAAACATACGATGACACAAAGTCCACCATGCTGATGAGGATCACTCGAGGAGAGGTCCCAGAAACCCCGTTCAACCGTTAAGGGCCCCGTCAAAAGCCGTGATGGGGCTTCAAAATAACGAAAAATTGCATCCTACAAGGGAACGATGGATAACTTATAACACTCTTTCAAGTAACTAATTATATACAAAGACACTGGTTTTACCTTCCTGTTCATAATAATTAAGCTGATAGAAACAAAGACTACACTTTGATCTTAGCCAAAAGGCCGCCATATTAATTCTTTATCTTATGGCTTTTTGACTTCAAATACATCACAGATTCGAAGGCAACTCGCGCTGAGATATTTTACAATTTTTTTACGATTGATTTGATTTTTTTTTTTTCGGCTGAAGGTTTCTGTTAGATAAGGTAGCCAAACCACGAACCCTCATTAGTTCCCAATTATTTGTTGGCGGTTTTTTCAGACGACCGTGTTCTATTGTATTATAGGGGCCATCGAAGTCACAGCCCATGGCAATGGCGAGTGTGATTATCAAGTCCGCTCGCATTAGGAAAAGACTACAATAGTTAAAGAGTTGGATTTCCTAATCACTGTTGCCGTTGCACGTGCAAAAAAATTTTCTCCCTACGCATTCATCTTTGAACCTGTTTGAAGTTATTTTATTTTGTAACCCTATTCCATTAATGATACCCCCCCCCTCCCCCACCCCACCCTTTTCCAACCAACCATTGAACACGGCCCATGTTCATACAAATTCACTCTAATTCTAGTATAATTCAAGCTCCGCTTGCCCACATCTTTATGTCATGATAAAGGCAGGCCACGACATCTTTTACATATCTGTAAGTCACTATAGAAGATGTCCTTTAAAAAACCGTCATCTCCCAAATGTGTTCTGGTCATCTAACCCTTGAAAAAACTATGGTGATGTTTCCCTAACACAAGAATGTTTGTGATCTCCTTTGTTTTCTAGTCTTGCCACATAATTCCAAGCATCGGTCATGGGCTTAGGCATAGCATGTGAAAACGAGTCGTCTTTAGCCACAGTGTTTCTATTCTTTGCTTTCCTGCTGGCTCCATATCGGTAGGAACAACATAAACTGAAAAAATGATGGGTGTTTTGGCCGTAAATCTGTATCGCGGATCACATTTTGTTGAGTTAACGCGTCGGTGATAAGGACAACCCTGAAGAAATTATGTGGGTGTTGGGCATATATTTGTATTCGCGGATCAGATATGTTAAGCTGCTTGTCTAATAGATGGAATGGCAAAGGAAAGTGTATATCCCCTAATACTCTAATTTACTTCTTTCAGCGTCAGTCAACGTTACTTGAGCTTGTTTTATCTTCGTTTTCATGTATAACTTATAAACAATGTGCGTCATACTTTAGGATTTATTTTTAAAAGTTACAGAAAAATGTGTTATAGTTTAGTTTCCAACTTCTTCTTGTGCCATAATCCTTTGTGTGTCGTTGGACGTCACATAGGGCTCGCTTTTCAACCCCTCCCCCCCCCCCTTTCACCCGTTTTTCCACCTCACTCCTTTGCATGCAACTTTTTCCATTTCTGACATGGAGTTCAGCCAAGCATTTTTTGCCTTTCGTAATAATGTTTTTCTAACTGTTTGCCTTCAGCGTCCTTTTTTTTCTCAGACCGTGTATTTCTCATTTCAGTGCTTGTTTTGTAATTCTCTGTCCATGTCTCAGAGTGTACCCAATGTTCTCCACCATCTGTGTTTTACTGCAGTCAACAGAGGTATTTGTCTATACATTTCTCTGATCTTTTGAATTCATCCCCTTTTAGGTTCATGATTTTTCTCAGGCATTTGTTTTCAAATGCATTTAGCGTTCGTTCACTGTCTTTGGTGATTCTAAAACTTTCGTTGGCATATGTTAGACATGAAACAACGTTAGAACAGAAGATTTGTATTTG